GAAATTCATCTCTGTGTTGAGCCCCCTCCAGAAAATGCATTTTAGCAGTATAAATACAGCATCAGTCATCAAACTTACAAATGGTACAGATAAGCCACTGCACAGAAGTAAATATCACCCTTTTTCACTAAGGATATCTGTAGTACTTTTGTTGTTATCTTACAATAACCCAAGGCAGAAGTCACTGAATGGATTTAAAACTGCTAACTACATTTTAATGACTCAGAGAAGGAACTTCTGACAGGATGCTTTCTTTTGAAGCAAGTATACAGTGAAGTCTACATGCCATAAGGTACAAAGTCTGGATAAAGGCAGGCTGTGCATGAGCAATTACCGTGACAAAGCCTAGCCTTGTATGATGGGCATCAAATTCACCACTTCAGCTCCCACCCTATCCCTGTGAAGCCACAGGCCAGGGCCGTGTGTCAGCTAAAGAGCAGCATTGGGTAACAGGTGAGTTTTGCCTGCTTTTCCCCTTGCAGAGGACACAAGTTTGGGCCTCTACCCAGACACTGACAGATTTAGATGGTCATGCTATGTTTGAAACTCTCACAGATTTGACTGAGAATGGGACAATAGACTTGAAAGAGATTACAGGAAAACTGACAGAAAGGACAATTACATAAGTCTAATTTATCTAGGAAATGCAAGGGGAAAAATACCCACCACAAAAGCAATCCAAAGCAAAACAGACACTTTGGAAAGTATAGGTGGAGCTGGGTCACAGACAGGTGTCTGGCTTTAGCTCACAGCTGAGGGAGGTGGCTGCTCTGGCCGGCTCCTTCTCCGCTGCCCCAGGTTACTGCTTCAGCGGCCGTGCTGATGCAGCTGTTTGTCTAGCTGTCCTTTAAGCCAGTCCTGTGAAATGATCCATTTCAAAGAAAAGACATGCATTTCAGGGAGAATGCCTGGTGGGGGTTTTTTTAACCCAAAGGTCCTTAAAAAAAGTCTTTGGAGCTCAGCTACACAAACAGTTGACTTGATGGCATGGGACAGCAGGTGTAAGTCTCTCTGTGGGTTTGTGAGGAATGAGGGGGAGCTACACCAAAGGGCTCTGCTACCATCCAAACAGTTGTGTGTGTGTAACCTGAAGTGTTCCTCTTCTTCTCAAGTCCATGAAGTGACCCCAGCCTTGCCTGTGTGGTGCAGGCACCCACTGGGTGGCCACTCTGGCTGGCTGCCCTGCTCACCACAGGCAGGCAGCACTTCCTTTGCACCCACCACTTTTGGCAGACCTAGTCTGCTCTAATATTTGCCAGTTAAGCTACATCATACCGATTCCAAAATTTAAATAATGGCAGTGCTATGCCCACATCATTTTAAATGTTAGCCAGGACTTAATGCATTAGCACCAGGCTCATCTCCATGTGAAAGCTGGCATGTGACAAGCCGGAGGAAGAACTTCTGGACACTGCTACTCTGCACTTAGGCCACAGACATTCACATAGGCTGTGACAGAAGTTTTCATCTCCAGCTCTCCCCTGGTGCCAGAGGTTCCTGCTGCTTCAGATCCAGGGAGTAAGCTGTGGGTTGACCACTTCCTGTCATTTGGTGGCAGCTTGTAATGTTGAAATACTAGGCCCCCTCTAACCTACCTCATTCTGCCTGAAAAATTGTGAAAAGCATTCAAGCACAGTTGAGCAGAGCAGGCCTGAAGGGATGGTAGTCACAGGCTGGGTTGATGGACTTCTCCAGCAGCACCTCAGCTTGGGAGGATGTGCATGTGTAACCAGTCCCCTGTGCAGACATTGTTCAATTATCTTTTGAGGGTTTATTGCAGAGAAAAATGTTGCTTGGTGCTAGCATGACACCACACAGCTCCTCCTTTGGGCTGGCATTGTCCTCCAGCTAGTGTGGGCAGCTATTCAGATCCTCCATATGTCTGTTTAAAATGGGTACACAGAACCTTGAGTGTGCTGAGTGGGAGGTAGCTCACCCATCTTTGAAACACAGGTAAGCTGCTTCAGTGCTGGTTGCCAAGCAAAACATCTTCTTCATGGGGAAGCTTTCTGATGAAACCAAAGTGAAACTTACCCTTAGCTTTCTTATTGCTACCTCTGGAGCCACCACATCCTTCTCTTGTCACGAGCACCTTATTATTTAGAAAGTGGCAACAAGTGATGCTGCTAAGCACTGAGAAGTGGGTCTCTCTGTGCTCGTGGGGGAAGGGAAGAATTTTTGGAGGAGTTAAAATTTGCTCTTTGAAAGCAGTGAACACCGAAGGGTCCACCTGGGGAGAATGTTCCTGGCGTGCTACAACTTTGTGATGCTTCCCTACTTTTCTTGTGGAGACAAGCCCCAAGGAATCCAAAGACTTGGCTTATTTTCCTGATCCTGCAACAGATTCCCTGCCTTGCCCAGCCAAGGGCAAGTCATTTAGGATCACATTTTTGAGCATGGGCTTTCATTTTAGGGCTGTAGCTTGAGATATCCAGAATCTGTCTTACATGTGTATTAATCACTTACAGCTCTAGCCAAAATGAACAGAAGCTGCCTGTATATAGAAGTGTGCTGAAAATGAGTTGTTACTTCAAAAAACAGGGCCAGGTCTGTCTTACTCAGCTTGCTCCTACGTTCACTGGAGGTAGTAAGTAACACCTGTCCAGCTGGGGAGACATCAAGGTAAATTAATTTTTATAAAGCATGTGGAATGATTAATTATTTTTTAATCATTATTTGCAAATGTAACAGAGAAAAGCTCTTGGAGCATCGTTTCTCTTGTTTGGATATTTTTATTGGATTCAAATAAGAATAAGCATAACCTCCTTCATCAGCAGGCTTACTGACCATAAAGAATTTTGTTTTGCTTTCAGGGATTAGGGCATGAGATTTTGGTTTCTCTCACTTGTTTATGGCACGAATTTGCTACACATAAATCACTGCAGGTCAGAACACTGCTGTTCCCTTAGCATAAGGTAAGAGAGCACAGAATCACTCTTAAATGTTGTGCAATTGGACAGGATTTGGCTTGTCCTGATTTTGTGTTTGGAGAAGTCAGGCTGCCCTTTGTGCTTGATGTTTTACCTCTTTTCCCTTGAAGGTCCAGTGGAGAAATCTGACTAGGTGCTTTTGCATCACTCACTCAGTGCCTGATCTTTGTTTTGCTGAAATTAAAGTACAGCTTCCTAGTCTGTGGCTCACTGTGGGATTTCCCAGTGTTTCACCAGGCTGCAGTCTGATGTACTCTTCAAATACTGAAAAAAGTAGTTGTATTATCTTTACACCTGGTCCAAAGTGCATGTGGCTGTAAGCAGACCAGTTCAGTGGAGAAATCTGGCCCAGAAAAGGACAGTTTCTGTTTTTCAGTCAGTTTAGTTTTGTGTGGTTCGGTTTGATGGCAGAGCTGAGCAGCAAGGGCAGGTGCAGAGAGAGGGGGTCAAGCCCCAGTCCTTCAGGTGTCCTTGTGTGGCTGTGTTTGCAGGAACTGAGGCAGTCTTACTGCCCTCTGTGTCTGCATCTCTCTTGCCACTATCTCTTGGGGGTGTGTGGGTGGGGTGGCAAGAAGTTAATGTTACTCAGTAGCCAGCAAGCAATGGGATAAAGACCCATATTGTGCCTTTCTGATCCCAAGGCTATCCCCCTCCCCCCTTCCATTCTTTGGTTTACTCAGTAGAGCTACCCTGATTCACATAAGCTAACAATCTGTTTGAGAAGAAACAATTAGGCCCATAGAAGTTGTTGACATCTTATTTTCATTTTTTTCAATGGCATAATGGGTGCTCCAGTCCAGCTTGTCCTTTTGTGTTCTCCATCCCAGGCATTCCTCCCAGATGCGAAGTCCCTGTGAGGTTGGGGACAGAACAGTGGCTCTCCCAAACATTTTGGACCGAGAGACTGCTAGTGACACTCAGCATTTCTCACAGAACACGATGTGGCTGTCGAGCAGGCTAGTAATTGAAAACACTGCTGAAACCAGGCAGGCTCCCCAGGCCAGCTGCGGGCCTCTTCCCGTGCCTGCGGAGCGCAGGGTCGGCATTTGCTGGGACCAGCTGCAGGGCTGGGGAGGATGGGGTGTGCTTGCAGGAGGCTACAGGAGCAGCCTCGGGTGTCTTTTCCAGGAAGTTGGGTGCACACTCCCCGCTTCTTCTTTCTCTGTGGTCTTTTGGAGCTCAGCTTAAATCAGATCTGGAAAACAGCATCCTGCTGCAGAAGAGCCAGTGGTCCTAGAAACAGACTCCTACTATAAAAAATCTTACGGGAGCCAGATGCCCCCGACCCTGACAGAGATTGATCAAGCGGCTGGTGGTATCACCTTTCACTTTGCTTTGGCGAGGGGGGAAGCACGGAATGATGGAAAGTGTTCAGGTGGTACTTTCAGAAAGTATTTAAGGGTTGTTGTTGTTGTGCTTTGTTTAAGTGCTGCAAACAGGAAATCAGGTCATTCTACACCACACAGTGCAAGCACAGAGTCAGAAAGGGAGGAGGATGGTGGGTAGCAAGGAGCAGTCACTCCTGAGGAGCAGCCCTTCCTGACTGCAGCACGCTGCAGATGTGTGCTTTGTCAGAGGCTGGAAAAGTTCATCGCCATGGAAAGGAAATCTACTAAACGTGCCTCCTGAAGGTATGGGAGGCTCTGCGACAAGCATTCCGGGACAGGGGGAATCTTTGGCCAGAGAACCGCTTGGGAGAGAAGAGATGCTCGGGTGTGTCACCGCCAGCCTTTGCAGACGCCTTGCGCCAG